CTTGTACATCGGCTGGCCCCCGCAAGTCATTGTATAGGCCACATCGCATTCAAACGCCACTACGAATGTACAAATGGAAGTAGAATGCGTGCCGCATCCCAAAAAGGGATTGATCAACGGCAAATGCTTTATCCTTTTATCCTTTTACCGATTCTTATGGATAACTGAAGCAGCAGGACCTGAACGATGGTAACTCCAACAAAGAAAAACATCATGGTATTATAGAATAATAAAATTGGTTAGGAACGATAAGTAATGAAGTAGGAGGGGCGGATTGTTCTGCTTTAGAGCGATCCGAAACTTCCTGGTGGTTGCGCACCATGCACACAAGCCCGACACTCGGAATGAAACACTCAACACTTATCAAAACGATATTCATCGTACCAAGATTGAAAAAAGCCGAATATGGTCGACTACAATAATTGTTTTCCACCCATAAATGTCGAATTTGAATTGACAATCTACGAACCAAAAACAAACCTCGAAGCGACGTCGCGGCGCATACGCGCGTGTCAGTCCCACCCGATCTCTAATTCGAGGGATATGTGAGTCATTGCCCCATCAAGGAACAGAACCCGTTTCCCATTCATTCTAGACTTTCTGGCTTTCAGGAGATCAATGCTGAGTACAAAAAGAATCTTCTAAGCCTCAAGAACATTTTGCTTATCAAGTTCACAAGGGATCATATGGTCGTACCGAAGGAGTCCTCGGTAAGCGGCATTTACAGTAACCTTTAAATGATAATCATTTTCCGGTATTGTTGATTTTTCGCACTCTGTGCCCGTGCAGTATTCAACAGTACCGATTTTAGTGGTTCGGATATTTCAAGGAAGGAGATCTCGATACGATAGTGCCAATGAATGAAACGAGACTTTACAAAGAGGTGATTAATGTATTATTAATAGCAACAGGACCCGTCAACTTCAGGAGTTAAATATGTGCTGACTTTTTGAGCAAATAAATATTTCCAGGACCGAATTGGCCTCAAAAAACTGCTGGAAACGGGTCGATTGCATTTCCTCGAAGTAGAAGGTGATCACCTCAAGATCACCCGCGAAGAGTTCAAAAAGGAAGTTATTGACAAGTATTTGAAATGACACATTAATAAACATTTTTGTAAAAGCAGAATCACTAAAGACTGAAGATAAAAATTTAGTGGTATTGGGAAATATAATAGAATGCAGCTTTCTTCCTCAATACAAAGCCCATGCCGATCGATATATCGATTTCTTCCAGATATCTTTTTTATATGGAAGAAATTGGAACGGAATTACAGTGAATTTTCAATGGATTTATCCGAATCAATGTGACCAGGCCGCAGTCCAGCCACCGAAAGCGTGTGAGATCTCCTTAGCGGCGGCGATGAGCAGCCGATCCGAGTTCGGTGAACCGATCACCTGAATGTAGTGGATTGGAGTGGTGACTTCGATGCTAGTGATGGGGGTGGGACTTGAATAGACGGGTGGATACTCTGTGAGCTGTTGAACCCTGCGAGCCAACCTTGGCTTCTGGTTAGAGAAATTATGCGTTGGTGGGTTAGTTGATGTGAGTTTAACGGTCGATTATGGTGGTATAACTTCAGGCAAAACTAGAGGTCAACGGAATTTGCCGCTTCAACGAGCACCGGCAGAGATAGTGGAAGATTCGCGAGTGAAAATCGCCTTTACCATCCCTCAAGACCGCTGGGGAGGGCCATTAACTGTTAAAGGGCTCAAAAGTCTGTACATGTGCGTCTCTCAGACTTAGCCAGATGACCCGCCTGGCTGACAGAGGACCACCCAACTAACAGATGCGTCCTTGGCAACTTTACTGAATTCCAGCGCAAGCCGTTGCTCGATCCAATCCTGTGGGACATTGGACATCACGGGAAGCGCGATGTGCGTTGACGACGTGTAGGCGAGGGTTGAACGGTCCGGCGTGAGTATGGTTTGATGATGGAACGGTGCCGTCTGTGGCCATCTTAACTAGAATGATCAGTACGGAATCGATATCAGCTACTCAAATTCCTTAAAGTTGCATATTCCATAGACGAAAAGTTATTTCTACAACTACGGCTTTTTTCTGGCTTTATTGCTTGTACGATCTTGCGATAGAGATATTCGATATCGGACGGTATTAGAACTCGCCCTGTGTTCTCCAAACATTGTGCTTATCTCACGGTTCAGCAAGATATGACTATAGTAATAGTAAGCTACGGGTAACTATTGATTTGGAGCATAATAACATAGCGTTTATCTTTTTCAAGCGTATAAATTGAATCAGTACAAGTATCACCCAAAAAACCGCTCATGTCCATTTCGAAAGTATTATTTACCGTTCCTACAAAATGTGGGTAGTTTGTTATTGTGATTGAATATTGTAGCTATACTCAGTATAGAGCCCTTAGAATGGAAAAATCCAGACGGCGAAATTGGTAGTGCGTTTCGACATTGCTGGATTTTCCCTTCGATTAAAGGCAAGAATCAGGATTACATTGATGGGTTGATTCCACTCAAATGTGAAAGTAGGGATGAGAGGTGGACCGCCAATGGAGAAAAAAGGAAAGAAAATCCTGACATGCACAGGAAATACGAGCATTTTGCTCAATGCTGTGGAGAAGTTCAAAAGACAGGGAGGGAGAGATAATGTGAGCGCAGAGGGTGGTAGAGAATTCCGAGAAGAGAGAGCATAGCAGATCAACGCAGCGACGCAGACAAGACATCGATCGGTGGGCGGACCATGTTATGTTTGGTGGAGTCTGTTAGAAGTTCATGGCGCCTAGGGTCCTGGTGACGGGTTTCGATGTAGAAAGGTGGCGCTAACTTTGCACTTGCGTGCCCAGCACTTCTAGCCATGGTAAGGGCTTCTTAGGTGGGTCTGAGCCCGAACTTTGCCTTTAAGAGTAAGAAAAAACGCCCGTTGGAGAGTTCCTTTGAATCCATTGTTTATGAGACCTTCCTTCACCCGAACGCAACCTTTTTGGTTCAATGAACACAACTCAATTCCGTACAAATTGAGAATAATGAGGGACTCTGAAAACGAGCTCAATGTATTTTTTTGAATTTTATATCCAGTGATCTCGGCGAAATGCAATCAAAGTTGTAAATAATGGCGAAGTGAATATCACTGATTAGTTTTACGTTTTTGTTTTTTGTTTTAATTGTTTGTGTGAAGAAATGAAAAATGCAACCACTATGATACTATGCTCCAACCTAATGAGATAGATGATAACCTACTGTAAGTATTCATTAAGAACTAGGTAAGGCTTTGTGGACGTAGTATAATACTTTGGATAGGCACGGTGAGCAAGAACGCATTCAAGTGTCATTTCAGGCCGGCCGTTCACCCCGCCCTTATGATTACCGTAACATCTTTGTTGCTAGAGCTTTTCAAGACACCCTATTTAAATTGTTCTTCAGTGCTCTATACGCGCAATGTTGCAAGTATGAGTGTTTATTTTATGTTAGGAAGACTACGCCTCATAACATAAAGTGAAGAGGATGTTAAGTTCAAAAATGCCTACCATTTTATTGCAATCACTACGGCGCTATGAGCGTGCGGGGGTGCAACTTTCGATTCCCGCCTGAAGCAGCGATTTGTGCCCCAATCCAAGATTTTTGTGCCAAATTTGGCACGGCAAACTGTGGCCAAAAATAGTGCATGGCAACTAGAAGTTACTACTACTCAAGTTAGATATTGCCAGCTGGTAGTTCACAAAGAGTAAACGGAACTTACGACGGGAACAGAAGAATTCCATCGTCACCAAGAGTTTCGCTGATTTGACGTATCAGACGATCACGAAGCCGAACAGACTGTAACATTCAATAATGGCTATGCTGTATTTCTCTTTATGTTTCTAAAGAAATCAGAACAAAACGCAGTGGGAGCTAAAAATCGAGAAGCAATCAATGCCAAAGTCCAAGACATCTGTACAGAGCCGCTATACTCTTAGGGCCCTTTTGGGAATATGGGAATGAGATATGTACCTCAATTTTCTCCTTCGCGGACTTCCTGTCCAGGTCATCAAACATACAGGTGAACAAGGCTCCAGGTGTGTGAACAGACTTTCCGGCGAAAAACTTCGGAATCTCGACCTTCCAATTCAGCCGACCTTTGTTACCCTGAAATTTGCATGCACTTCGTTTCACTTCTTCAAATCACTCATATGGGCATCCGTAGACCCCTAGCGAGTTTCCGCTAAAACACATATTACTGTTTGACGAACCTCCAAGCTGAGCAGATACTCGGCGATTTTGGGCTCACCTTCGACCTCCAGACTGGAGAGCAACATCTCAACAGCCTTTGCAACTAGCGGCAGATCGAGTCGAATCGCTTCCACGTTGAATTTCGTCTCAAAATGGCCCACAGCCTGAATTGAGTCTGGCTGTATGACAGCAGTTGTTCATACCTAGATTTAGTCGACATAATATATGGGCGAACATAGCGCAGTGCTTAGCGGCGGCGCCTTGGGCCCATACTGTTTCGGGATTCTACCCAAGCTGACCCATGAGAATGCTGTCATAATTGCGGAATCAAGTCTTAATGAATTTGTCTACAATGAGAAAAAACAACGAAACATAAGATGATTCTTTCAGGTCGTCGCAATCATCACCACTCATCCAATCATCATGTATGGGCTCGATTCTGATTCAAATACCTTCAGATTTTTGAATGAAACCGAGATGTTTGGCGTGTTCCAAAAAATGAATGGCTCATAACGATCCTCTAGTCAAACTGTTCCAGAAACCACACGAAACCTAACAAAGAAGTTTCGGCTTCGATCAATCCCTTTCAGGAGTGCGCCATGCACGAACGTCCACTCGGAATAAAAATAGCCGTTGTTATTCAAGAAACCTAATTCTTCTGGAGGTATTTAATTCCTTTTTGTTAGGTATTATGGTATTGTGTGAAACAAACCGCACCTGTAGTAAAGCCGCTTTCATTTCAGCGCTCAGCGATTGAATTGTCGGAATCTGTATGCCTTCCATGTAGAAGACACGGGTTTTGCCAAGGTCCACCGTTTCAGAAAGTCGTAGTTCGGGAACTTTCTCACCACCCATCACCTGAAAGCACCGGTCAAAACATACAGCTTTCAAAGGTCCTTGAGAAAACGAACTATGTCCCGAACACGAAGTAAAAGAGAAGTAATTCAATACAAGAAATTCATAAGTATTATATGCAGGTTAAGAAAATATGAAACTCTTCGTTCACCTGAACAAGAAGTGGGATATCCTCCACATAGCGACAAATCGGCCCTACTCGTAGCATTTTCGCTGGATAGCCCTTGACCACCGGTACATGCCCGTCAAGTGGAATAACTCCTGAACAAATTTTTCACTGGAGATTA